GCAGTACGTGTGCAGGCATGTGCACAAACACATACGTAAATAAACATAATGATGATCAGTGTGGCCTTGGGGCCATCAGCACAAGGGACATGAAGCACTCTCTTAAAGTCTTTTGACTGTCACTTTCCTTGGGAGCCTCACAGCTGCAGCCAGCTGCTTGGCTAGCTGCAGGTCCTGGGCAAGCCACTCAGTGCTGTGGCCTCAGCCTTAACTTGTGTAGAATGAGGCGCTAAGAGAACCTGTGACCCTGTGAGGTGGCTGGCACCAGAGGAAAAGAGACGCAGGGGGAGGAAGGAACAAACCACGTCAGTTTTTGCCTTGGTGACCTTATTTTTTGGCAAGGTTCAGTGCCAACATGAGTCACATGATCGTTAAAGGACAATGACTACTTTGTATGAACTAGGAGGAAACATACAGGTGCTATAATCTACCGGTGCCTAGATGTTAGTAAAGGTACACACACCTGTTGGACTGTCCACTGGCTAAGCAATTTCCTGGAACCACCTCTCTCCGCTTCCGATGCTGTAGTGACAGCGATGGCTAGAAGCAGCCAGGCCCACTCAGCACTACCCTGGCCATACTTATTGAGAGGATCCATGGTTGGTTGGCTTCCCTAAGGGTTTAGAATTGAAGATGGCCTGCCCTGGGCTTTCTCCAGGAAGTTAATCTGAAACCTGTAACAAGGGGAAATATTTTCTATACAGCAAAGACTGTGGAATTGAGAGTGGGGGCTGGGCAGAGGCAGGGAGCTAAGGCCTCCAGGAGTTCTGAGAGGAGGCAGAGGGAATCTTGACAACAAGGCCATCTCACTCACGCCCCACTCAGTGCCATGGCTCAGTCCCCCCATCCTGATGTTCAACTCTTTTGATCACCTCAGCCAATGAGTTCATTTAATGGCAAGATAGAGAGTGTATACACTCTAGGGTCCCCAGGGGATCCCAAACTCCATGGGAACCTGGCCTTACTACTCACCCTCATGTACCAATTCTACCCCGCAGCCAAGGCCACACCCACATACACCCGATTCCAGGGGCAAATCAGATTAGTCTGGAAATACTTTTGGAAATAGGTCACCCATCCTGAAATCTAATTCAAGAATATACTATATGCTAAAGCAGGGTGAACAATTATTTTATAGAGTATTTCATAAAACCAAAAACTATTTTTTTTTCCTTTGCTTGCTTCCTCAGAACAGCTGAGTCTTAGAACAAACTCATTGCTGCCACATTTGAGAAGGCGACCGCTTCTCATATTGTCTCATGGTTATTTTTACACTTTCTTTTTAAAAACATTTCTGGCTGTTGTTCTTCTCATTGTTTGTAGTTTTTGCTACAATACCTGACCCATGGTTATTTTAAGAGCATCATATTAAAATAAAAGGAAAAAAGAATCAATCACCCACAGGAAGCCAAGGACTACTGGAGAAACCCTGCGTCTCAGAAACAAAGGTCTCCTCCCAGTCCGCCTTTTTCTAGCAACTTGAACACGTGCTCTTTCTAACTCAGTTTCCCAGCCTGTAAAGAAACAAATGATCATCACTGACACCCCACCTATGACCACCACCCACCTCCAAAAATTGTGGAGGATTTCGGTGAATTAACTGGTAGCAAAGCATGCCTTGTGGGCTCATTGCAGGGGACGGCAGTAAAGAAGCAGAGAAAGCCCAAGAGCCCAGTAGACACAGCCATTCTTATGAGGAGAGGAGACCACTCAGAACGGCACTAAGCACTGGGTCCTGGCGCCTGCTCTAGTACTGAGAGGTCTGCCAGCCACACATGGACTGGACACCCTAGGAAGTCATAGAACTGCTTTGAATGATGTCCAGGGAGTCATCCCTTTCCCACGTCCCCTCCCTGTATTAACTTAAGCATCGTATTTGGCCAAATTTTCCTCTCAGATAATAAAGTTAATAGCAGCCCCAATTATTGATTTTGCTTAATGCCATTCAGGCATGGTTTTAAACATAGGATTTGCAGACGACATCTCATTTAAGCCTCACAAATGAGGACTACAGAGTGGGTTATGCTTACAGTCAGAGTCCATGGACAAGAAACAACCATCTGAAAGTTAGCAAGTTGGCCTTGATCACCCCTGCAGGACATTGTAAAAACTAAGATACAAGCAAGCATGGTCCTTTGGACATGAAATGGGTAAGGCATTCGTTGCATGCCTCCCCCCACCCCTGCTTTCTACATCATTATATGCTCATAATTATCCCTCTAGATGGCTGGAGGAGCACCTGTGTAAGGGCCAGACTCATAAAACAGTGCTGTCCACATCCAGTGTGGGTCTTCCATCCCACCATAATTAAGGCAGTCAAGACAAACCCACAGATATGCCCATACCCACAGGCCATGTGATCTCCCCTCCAGCACTCTTCCCCCAACCCAATTCCACTTAGACTCTGGCTCTCAACACCCCACAGAGACATCACAGAAAGTTGGCTTGTTCAGTAAATGCTTCTCCAAGGAATGTGGCCTGGCCTACCTTCTTTCCAGCTTCGGCTGTTATTGACCTTGGCCAAACTATTCCAGGAACATGTCCCCTTGCTCACTGTGGTGGCTTAGATAAGAATGACCCCTATATGCTCATGTAATTTTTCTCAGGTAAGCATCCCTCCTTTCAGATAACTCTAGCTGTGTCAAATTGACACAGAACTACCCAGCATACCGTCTATCAACATAATACACTTGTCTCAAAGTTTTCTGTTTGGGTTAATATTCCCCGTGATTTGGTGCCTATGAAATGTATGGGCCTCAGATAATGCCATGACTATTTCATTTATGCCCATGGCAATACAAAGCACTTAGGGACACTTGGAGACCGTTATGAAATCTAGCAATTGGATGGAATGATGTAAAAGAAACTGGGATGAGAGAAGAAAATATAAGCCCTAAGGTGTCAACTGTCAAATTCAACATTGTGTCCTGGAAACACTCTAATAATTTTCCCCCAAGGAAAAACTGTTCTGCTTTGGTCTGCTTCTGCAACTTGGGCATGTCTCACTTCATTATGATGAGCCCAAGCTACCAGCCAGGCTGACACCTTCAGAATGTTCAGACTTAAGCTCCTCAGACAGCTCTTTTCTAAGCTAGCAATGTTGCTAATGGAATTCAAAAGCCTCAGCTAGCCTGGTCATTGAAATGAAGGCTCTGAATGTGCATTGTTTTACTGGGCATGAAGAGACTTCCTATGAAATCTAGAGGGAGTAACACGGAACAGGGTATGGAAAGAGACTGTAGGATAAGCTAACTGTAAGATGTGCCATAGAGTGAGATATGGCCAGATTCAACTCTTCTGAACTCACTGTGAATTCACACAAAACAACTGAATTCTAAGCTTTGTACATACATTTTTAAATGGTGGTTAAGGACTGTGGAGATGATGGCTCAGTTGGAAAATATCAACCATGCAAGCATGAGGACCTGAGACTGGATTGCCAGCACCATGAACAAGAGAGGTGTGGTAGTGTGCACGCATCCAACTGGTGGAAAGCAATAAAAGATATCCAACATCAGCCTCTAGCATACACACACACACACACCACACCACACACACACACACACACACACACACACACACACACCTTCATCCTTGTGCAAAAGTGCATCTACAATCACTAGAGATACATGCACACAAATAGATTTTTTAAAATAATGAAGAGCCAGGCTGTAGTAGAGAACATGTTTAATCCCAGCACATAGGAGGGAGAGGCAGGTGGATCCATGACTTCAAGGTCAGCCTGGTCTACAGAGTGAGTTCCAGAACAGCCAGGGCTACACAAAGAAAACCTGTCTCTAAAAACAAAACTAAAAAAATGACTAGGAATAGTAGGAATTACCTGTTTCTAGAGTTACATTCATAATAACTCTATAAAAAAAAAAAATCAAGACAGCTATTCCAAACAGATATTATGCAATCATCGCTAACAGCTAACCTCTCCTGTTCTCATTCATCTTATGGATTTCCAACTTAAAAGAAGCAGCCAACAGCATTATTTCAAGGTCATCTTCAGTGACACTAAACGCCCAGACTGACTTATTTCTTAGAATTGAAATTTAAACAGAAATTTGACAAGAGTACTTCAGACTGTGCCAAGCTAATCTAACACAAACACAATAAAAATGTTAATAAACAGATAAACGACCCTATTCTCATTCAGTTTTTATTGTGATAAAATATTCTTTCTCTCTCACTCACACACACACACACACACACACACACACAAACACACACACACACAGACACGCCTCTTAAAACACTAGCCAAGACCATCTATGCTCTCCTCATTTTATTGTCTTCTAATTTCATCTTTTGGGTTGCCACAACTTTATAACCAATGACAGTACTCAAATTTCTGTCAAGCTTAGGAGAGCTGTAACTTAAATTAAGTTCACAAAAAAAAAAAAAAAAAAAAAAAAAAAAAATTCATGCCATTGTCTCACAGGACTGTCCCTGTTCCAGGTTAAAGAATTACAAGAAGGCCAAAGAAATACCAGTATTGTGTACAGAGAACAAAAGCCCTGACCACAAATCTCCACCGCCCTGGAGTGACCAACAACCCCCCCCCCAAACTCTTAGTACTGAAACCCTCAATCAGAATTCAGGTCTAGACAGGTCTGTACTTGCTCTAAGATTGCATTTGGTGGTGGGCAGAAAAGAGTTAAATTTTTAAGGGACACAACCATCAGCTGTCAGGTCTCTCATCAGTCTCTCATTCCACAACAAAGAACTTGCATTTTCACATTGTGTGTTTGTGCTTTGGAACAATGCATTGCTCAAGGCAAAGCAAAGCAACATAAAAGGAAAAGCCAACTAGACAGAAATTTGATTTTGTTCCTCATCTAGCTTAGCCAGATACACATATTTCTAAATTCTATATAAATATTTTCTGCCTCTGGATAGCCAATGCTTTGAACCTCGTACTTACTACTGCACAGTGGTGTGGTCATTCAGAAACCAAGAGAGACAAATCTGTCTTCTCTGTGGTCAACACTTACCGATAGGGAAATCATTTGGCTGGACCACGTGGAGGAAGATGTGTACCATTCGGTAGAGAGGGCCAACGATTCCAGCGTTGAATGTGTCTGGAGTCTCATACTCTGAAGTAGGCAACTCATAATTCAAGGCCCCAGGAGTGCTTGCAGATGTAAATGGGCCCCCTGCAGCGACATTTACACACAACCCCAGTAGCAGCAGGACACTGAAGACAAGAGTCATAGTCATCCTACATCCTAGGCCACCAAGCATGAGGTAGCTACTGGAAGGTCAGAGGCGGTGGGCCTTTCCTGGACCTGTGGAATCTTCTGCCTCCTGGCTGGTAGCAAGAGGAGTAGAGGAATGGTCTCCAAGGAGGTCATTCACTCAAGGTATTACCTGGTAGGGAAAGAAAGAACATTGGTTATTTAGGGACCACCTTGCCTGCCCCAGGAGCCCACCCCAGAGGATATGGCATGGCTTAGAGTTAAACACTCAGGCCTAATCAGGGTGCTTGGAAATCAAGCACCCAGCTGCCACAGAGCTGCAGGTAGGGGCTGTCAGAGCTGGGGGGTGGGGGGGATGATTCAGAACACAGCCCTTTCCGGGGACGGGACAGGGTTTAGGAAGCCATCTGTTCTTGGAAATGGACATTCCAAGTCACAGTGGCCATGACTGGACACCATGACAGGGTCGCCTTTGAAGAGATGATGCAAAACAGTATGGCTGCATATGTATAACTGAAAGTGGGTTTAAACATTTGGTCAAGAAAGCCTTTTGATAGGAAAAAATCAAAATAGCTCAATATTTCAAAGATTCTTAGGCACTAGCCAACAAATATTAAACAATAACTGACCATAAAGATTTATTAGCCTGATCTTAGAAAATAGGCGGTTAGTTGTGGTTAACCTTGAATGATTTCCTGATTTACTGTTAGCCTTGAATAAGTTGTAGATTACCGTACCTAACAACGATGATGTCATTTGTTCTATCTGGATTTGCTTCAATGAACACAATCTCTGAGAAGCTATTCTTTATCCTGGATGAAAAGCCTTTCTTGAAAGCTGCAAAATACACTCAGATTCAAACTGCCTCTGTGTTTTGTTTCCTTACCCACCTAGTCATCGAGAACCCTCGTCCCAGGGACCCCCATACCCGGCTGGGATGGTCTGTGGCAAAACAGGAATCCTAATGATGGTCATATCTGGGAAGGGGGAGGGTCATAGCAATGATGAAGAGCAACACAGGTTCATTCTATTCTAACAGAAGGCATCTCTGCTCAGCATGTAAATACAAGAAATAAAGAACCCACACCGGGCATTGGTGGCACACACCTTTGATCCCAGCACTCAAGAGGCAGAAGCAGGCAGATCTCTGTGAATTCAAGGCCAGCCTGGTCTACAGAGTGAGTTCCAGGACAGCCAGGGTGACACAGTGAAACCATGTCTCTAACAAACAAAGGCAAAAGCCAAAACTCCTGACTACTTCTTGCACTATTTTTCACGAGGGTAAACAAATCAGTAAGCAACCTAGAAGAAGGCTGTAGACTGCACAGCTCGCCAGTGTTGCATGAGGCTTCGCTGTAGCCTTGGTTCTGAACACACAGCATACATGCTCTGCACTATACATGCCATTGTGCCATGCAGCTGGAATGCACACTACCAGACATGCCTTATTTCAGATTCCAGACTGCTGCACCTTATGAAGTGCAATGTTTTCCCTAACATACAAAGAGTTCTGCTTGCATAGAGACATAATGATTTAATTATGGAAAACAGGGAACTTTAATACTTTCCTACCGTCATTTCTTGGCATGTTTCAAATTAGTATATCTTTGAGTTGTACTGTGTTAAACAAACAAGCACGTTCACCTTATTTATTCGAGTGTAAATTTGCTTTAGGTAAGTGGTAAATTATATAATTCTAAAATTGTTTTTGAAATAAAATTATTTATCGTCTATTATCAGTAAATGTTTAATTTGTATGCCTATATTTCCAGACTTGCATTAAAAAGTTCTTGTGTGCCAAGCAGTGGTGGTGCACACACCTTTAAACCCAGCACTTGGGAGACAAGGGCAGGAGACAAGTTCTAGGCCAGCCTAGTTACAGAGCAAGTTTCAGGACAGCCAAGGCACATAGAGAAATCCTGTCTCAAAAAACAAGGAAAAAAACAAAAAAGAAAAAGAAAAAGAAAACAAAAATATGAAAGTTCTCTGATAAAAGGAGTTGAAGACAGGCTTTCATTTTTTTGTGCTAAATAGACACTTTCAGGGTAAGCATAAAGTTGCCCTAAAATTCAGATTGGGAATGAGATGTGGGGGCAATCAAGAATTGCCTCTACTCTAAGTCAGATCCTGATGAGAGCAGCTCAGGGAGGGGCCACCACAAAATGTAGTACAGGATTTACCTCCCAAGTTCAGAACAAGTGCACATTAAAACCAGGTAAGAGGTAGGACCTATTGAGCAGTTTGGATGAAGACACAAATTCCTATCTCTAGGAATGTGAATTCCTATATATCCCATATACCTATAATCCCTTCAGATTGTGCCTCCTTTCTACCTCCCATGCTGCTCCAATTACTTCTGAACAGCTACATACAACAGAACACCTCTGAAGGCTTCTTCTAGCAAATTACCAGCTGCTTCCGTCTCCAGGTGGCTCCGGGGATCAAGCTCCTCCATAGCCACAATGTGCCCTGTGACCCTGGTGATGGCTCCCAAGGGCTTCTTCTGAACACACACACACACACACTCACACACACACACACCACATGCCTCAGCTTGTTCTTTGCTAAAGGGACTCAGGGCTGGAGGGATTAAAGGCTCAGGTGCTGAGAAAGACACACTTCCTGGTAATGAGACCAAGCTACAGCCACAGATAGAATAAACAATCCTCAGCTCCCCTTCGGAAAATGAACAGAGGAAATCCCAAAGGGAAGAGAATACCTCTGCTCACCAAGGCAGAGATGGAGGTGCCCATTACTTTAGAGGCTAAGTGGGATTCGGGGTCCACATTTCCTAACACCCCCTGCAAAAAAGTGCAGTCCCTCTTCAGTATTAAAATTTAAGAAAATAAATATCAAAGTCGCAAGAGTTACAGAGCAGGCAGTTGTTTCTCCTCAATGATAGTTAACATGAAAACCCCAGGAAGAGGTGAATCCCTGAGTTTGAGGCCAACCTGGTCGACATAGCAAAATTCAGAACATCCGGGGTGGGAGCACATCTCTTGAGATCCTCACGATTGTAAGCTTTGGAATCTGCTTCCTCCAGATCCACTCCTTTAAATGGGTCATAGTTGGCAAAGCCTGCCTGACCATTTTCCTGGTTAGTGGGGCACACTGTTGGTTTTCACTCCAAATGCACTATATTCAAATAGGGAAAGGGGCCCGCTAAAGTTAGGCTTGGTTCTGAGTCTGAGCTGCATTTCTGCAAGTGCTGCTTTTGAAAGCAAATGGCGTGACCCACTAGCTTCGCTCCCTTTGCTCTGTTTGATGGGAAGTGGCTCACTCTTTTCCAAGGATCCCCATGATGGATGTAAATGTTTGTCTTGTGGGGCGCTGCTTTGGGGATGAGGGGCTACTTGACTTCTGAGCCCACCTTTATGAGTGCTCTGGGGAGTAGCCCTACCTCTCATTGTGAGGCCAGCTGGGGTGCCCCAATGGGTCCTGGGGTGAGCCATCTAGGCTGGCCAGATGCTTTCTCTTGGGCTGAGCCTGGGACAGATCCTGAAGCTGAACCTTTTCTAATTCATTCTAGGAATACTGGTTGCAATACTGTAGCCATATCCAAGATCTGCTGTGCCCATTACAATTATGCACCAATCAGGGGGCCTGCCACCTGTCCTGTGTTGCTTAGACAGACTATCCAACCCTCCTGCCATGTCCTCTAAGTCCCTGTCCCCCAAGAACATCTGTTTGTTACACAAATGCTAGATTAGTTTGTATCTTTGTAACAAAGCTTCCTGGTTCTTAAAAGCAAGGAGGTGGTTCTTCACAATTGACAAGACCTATTTCCCTCAAATTATAAACAAACTCAACAATATGTAAAGTATTTTCTTTTTTAAGGTTGACTGATTTCATCTTACATGAATATTTTGCCTTCATGCATATATATATATATGCACCACATGTATACCTGTTGCCATGGATTCCCTGAAACTGGAGTTATCGACAGTTGTGAGCTGCCATGTAGGTGCTGGGAATTGAACCCGGGTCCTCTAGAGGAGCCCCCCCAATGCTCCCAACCACGGAGCCATTTCTCTGGCTAGCTCCTAGTGTTATTTTCAACCTGTCCTTTTGGTGTGTTTGTTTGCTTCACTGAACTAGAACACTGAGAAACAATTCAACACAGAAATCATAAGGAAGTCCGTAAAAATTTTATGGAACACTTAAAAGAAAAAAAAAACAAAAAAAAAAAAAACAAAAAAAACTAAAAACTAAAGGGCCCTGCTAAACAGCAAAAGTCCCCAAGTTTTCAAACAGAGCTGGGTCTCTGGTCCCACTAACCCCTGCAACCCTGGCATTTGCTTACTTTCTCTCCTGTGTAGTAAGTGGCCTTTGCATGGGGTTGGCAGATTAACATGCTAACAGGTAAAGAACTTGTTACAGCGTGTGTTGTCCATAAACTTCTAATGCTCGAGGCTAACCACCGTGACTCCTAGGCTCATGCAGATATAGGTCAGCTCTGTAGAGATTCAAAGAGATAGCTTCACAAATGAGTAAGAAAAGTAAGTAGTTTATCCAAGCTGAACCGTATGAATTTGCCAATATTCAATTGGTCAATCAAAAAAGAATTTAAAAAAAAAAGTTTTTTTCTTATGACTCAAGGCAACTCATTGTTCAAACTGCTTGGGTCTCTAGTAACTCGGGGCGGAGGGGCCTGCAAGGTCCTCGATCTCTCACTCGCTTAACAAAGGCCAGCAACAACCCACAAGGCACCGAGCAAACCTTTCTCCGCCGGGGCATGAGAGAAGTCCACAACTGTACAAGAGAGCAACGGAGCTGGCTCCCGGAGCAAGCAGGAACTGCATGAAACGCGGGCACCTTTCCTCCGCTGCCTTCCCCTACAAACTGCCACCAGACGGGTGCCCTCCCTCCCTCATTCCCTCCTTCGCAGGGGCCTCTCCCGGGCTGCTGAACACAATAGAGCCGGCTGCGAGGCGGCGCGCGAAGCTAGGAGCCTCCAGGAATCCGCTGTCGCCTGGGGGAGGGGGCCATCCCTGAGACCCGCCGTCCCGAGCGCCACTACGGCGTTTCCCCTCTGAGTCCCCGTAGGGCACGAGCTGAGGACCGGAGCCGAGCTCCTCACAGTCCCTCTCTC